CCGTCCACATCAGGGATGTCCGACTTGATCCGATCACCATGACCTGGCATGGAGGAGTGTGGGAGGCAGAGAGATGAGCGGCATGCAATGGGATGGATCTATCGTAGGATCGCAAGCAGAGGAAACTGATGTGCTTCACAAAGCTAAACCCAAAGCCCGTCCTACGTTAACCTTGATGTGCTCTCACCCGTTGCTATCCCAGGGCCAGCACGTGCTGGAACGATGCTTGCATGCACGCCCCCACGTCTCCCTCCACCTGCATGGGTTAACGTTTATGGTTGCAGTTCCAGGGTATCGGGGTTAGGGTGGTGGAGTGGAAGGCTGCCTGCATGAGCGGCCCCACGCCTCTCCCCAAGACTTCCCTCACGTCTCCCCCCACGTCTCCCCCCACGTCGCTTAACCCTATGGTGGGTTTCACCACTACCGATCTGTGCGCTAGCATTTCCAAAAGAGCCTTCACTTGGGGATCTCCAATGCTCACAGAGGAGCCCAAACTAGCCTCCGATTGACCACCCGTCATCGTGAAGGCTTCGTCCGCTCTTAAGAATGCTACAACGCCACTTCACCAGCTCTGATACCACTTGTTGGCTACTATTAGCCCTTAGTCTACTCTATGTTTTTTTTTTTTTTTTTGGTGGACATAAGTACACTACATGTATACATACATCCGCAGTCGTAACTGTTGCTAGGAGGGCATGAGTAGGTCACAAGGAACCAACCCCCCTTGTCCTTTTACGGAGGTTGAAAAGCTACACCGCCATCTTGCCAGATCGCCTTGAATCCTGCCCTCCACGTCATCGAAGCCTCGTTCTCGTAAAGCCTCCGCATAGCAATTGCCTCGTCAGCATTCAGGTGCCCCCAGTCACCCGCCCTCCTCGAACCACTTCTGCCAGCCATCCTCATCCGCATTCTGCTGTAAATCTTCACGTGCCGTGTGAAGCCAACCACAATGCGCCTCATTGCCCTTTTTGGCTGGAACCGCGTTGCACCTCTCCAACCACACTTGGTGCGCTGTGATGAAAATGATTGCAGCCTCCGGGAAACCGGACGTCGTGCCATTCTTCAGGAAAAGCATGTCCCCGAGAGACCTCATGTCCCTGCCCGGATTCATGCACTGCACCGCCTTCTTCATTGCCCCCACCACTGGCTGTATCACCGGGCAGCTGAAAAGACAATGGTCCTGCGATTCCACTCCACCACAATGCGTGCATTTCGCCCTTGCGCCCAGAAAAGGGAGCCTCTCCCCGACTTGGAGATTGTTACTGTGCACCCTCAGCACCACTTCACGTGCCCTGCATGGGGTTGCCAGCGAGTCACGGACTGTGATGGCCTTCCCCCAGTCGATCTTTCTCCCCAGGTCATCCTCCCATTTCAGCTGTTGCTTTGGCTGCACCACCGAGGGTTTCATCGCCTTCCTCAGCTTCTTCAATCCCGCCCGCTCGCCTTTCTCGCAGATTGTAGAATAAAGTAGGCGCGTTCTTGGGGCCCCCAGCACGTCCCGTACTTTCCCTTCTATGACCACCATAGGAGAAGCGCTCCGGAATTCAACTGATACCACGCTTGCGTACTCCATCGCCGATATAAATCCTTTCTTATCGACCGTCACCCTCCGACCGTAAAGTTCGCCGTTGTTCACGTATTGTAGTTGGTAGTAGAAAAACTCTCCTGGCCGATACGAGGCCATGCGGATTAGCCTAGTCTCCCTGAAAATTTCCTCTGCCGACAACTGTTTAAGTATCAGGTCCCTCCACCCCTGCGGCGTCGCTTCCCACGCTTTCAAAGCCCACTTCCTTTGTTCCACTCCGCCCAACTCCCTCTCCAGGTCTGCTTCGCTCTTACGAACCCTACTGCCTTCTCTTCCTTTAACCACCAAGTCCCCCAGCCGGACGCCCTTCAGACAGAGAGAGCCCGCCTGGTTTCCGAAGGGCGATTTGCCCCTGAAGAAAACGTTACGGTTAAAAAGTAGCTGTTCCTCCTCTGCGTCCCACCTGTGAGCCGGATTGCCAGCGACCACAATCTTTGAGTCCCATAGCGCTCTCACTGCGGCCTTCCACCTCATGCCCCCTCCCAGCCAGTGTTTCGGGATCGAAGGGTGCGCGTATATCGTGGCCAGACCGAGCGGGAATGCTGCCGCTCTCTCCCAGAGCCAGTTCCGAAGTGGCTCTTGCTCCGCTAGAGCTTTCCCCAAGCCCTGGATCACCGTGCTGTCGATCCGATGCTTCAGATCAATCACTCCCAGTCCCCCTTCTTTCCGTCCTCTGCATGACAGATCGTAACTCCAGAGTGTAAAGTGCCTGTCCAAGAGCGCCTTCCCTCCAGAGATGAAGTTGTGGCACAGCCGCTTCACCTTAGTCCATACTTCGTACGGCGGGGCGTAAATCTGCGCCTGGAATAGCAGGATCGGCATCGCGTAATTGTTTATGATCGTGACCCGCGCCGAGGTTTTGAGGTGCTTTGTCTCCCAGCAGCTCAGCACCGCGCTTACTTTTTCGAAGGCTTTGTCCCATGCAGGACCCGGCGAGCCCCCAGAGGTGATCCAGATTCCAAGCAACCGCTCCGACGTGTTCTTGCTTGCCCATTTGAAAGGCGACACAATCGGCTGCAGTCTCCTTAAGTTCTTCCCCAGCGGCATCAACGTCGTTTTGTCATGGTTCACCTTCAGCCCTGAGACCTCCGCAAACTCCCCTAGCAGTTTCCCGGCTGCCTCCACCTGCTCTTTCCCTTTTAAGACCAGTGTCGTGTCATCTGCATATCCGACGTATGCTAGGTCCCCTTTTACGCCTCTCTTCCTGACCCCCAGCTTCCTTCTTTCTATCTCCTGGTAGAGTGGCTCGACCGCGCATAGGAAGAGGTACGGGGCGAGTGGGCAGCCCTGACGCACTCCTTTGGCCATCTCCACGCGCTCCCCTATCCAGCCGTTCAGCAGCACCTTGGTCGCCGCACCATCATGAAGACCCTTCACCCATCCGATGAATTTACTCGGGAACCCCATGTTGCTCAGCGTCGTGAACAGGTACTCTCGTGATACGGAATCATAAGCCTTTTGAAAATCAACCAGCAGCAGCAACCAGTCCTCATCCTTCTGCTCTGCGGCATCAATCGCGTCCGCTACCAGTGAGACCGCATCGGCGAGACTCCTTCCCGGGAGGAAGCCGAACTGGTTCGGCGAGATCACTTTAGGTAAGACCGTCCTGATTCTGTTCGCCAACACTTTCGCCAGCAGTTTGTAGAAAAAACTCAGTAATGTGATCGGACGATAATTGCCCACATAGTCTCTGCTCCATTTCTTGTGTAGAAGAATCGTAACCGCCGTCGTGAAGGCTTCCGAAAGTACGCCCGTCGACTCGAAGTCGCGGATCTCTCTCATCACCGCCGGGCCCAGCAACCCCCAGTTCCTCTCGAAAAATTCCTTCGGTAGGCCATCCTGTCCCGGGGCTTTCCCCACCGGCAAGCTCCTGAGCGCCGCTTTCACCTCCTGTTCTGACCAATCCTTGTCTAACTGCAAGCGGTCACTCTCCTGCAGCACCCTTCCTTTTTCAATCGGCCATGGTTCTCCGGGAGAAGGCGCCGGCGACAACGCATAGGCCTCTCGGAAGTGCTCCGAAGCCGCCTTCAGCACCTCGCTCGCACCTCTCCGCAACACTCCCTTAAAGGTAAGTTCCGTTATTTCCGTCTTCGCTTTCCTTGACTTAACCAGGCCTGTCAGGAAGGCTGATGGTGTTTCTCCCGCCAATTCTTGCAGCAGCCCTGACAAGACCTGCAGCCTCTCCTTGTTGCTGTCCTGATAAAGCTTGAGAGCCGCTTCATTTTTAACCAACTCCTCATACAGAACCTGCGAAGAAGGATCAGCCATCACTTTCCATCTGAGCTCTTCCACTTTCTTTTCCAGATGTAACATGGTCGCTCGAACTCTTTTCCTTTCCTCTGCGACGTGAGCCCTCATGCTTGCACGCAGGCTCGTCACCAGCCTCTCCAGACCTTGCACCGGTTGGGTCGCCTGTGCCTCCACCACCGCCGATATGATGTTCCTGACGCCTTCGCCTCCCGCCTGAGGCGCCTGAAGCCTCCACAGCCCAGGACCATGATCGTCTGCAGATGCCGACTTGAGAGAGACCATCACAGCGAACCAGTGATCCGTCAATCCGTAAGGTACCATCGTGTGCTTCGCCTCCGTTACGCAGCTGAGTAGTGAATGAGAGACTAAAACCCTGTCAATTCTTGTGCTTGTCCTTGCAGATCTTGAGAAGAAGGTGTACTCTTTTCTGGTTGGGTGAAGACAACGGAAGGCGTCCTGCAGGTCCCACCTGGAGCAAATCTGCAAGAGCCGCTGATTTTCCGCCGGAGTTCCCAGCTTCGAAGACTTGTCCAGCTCCGGGTCTGCTACGATGTTCAGGTCCCCGAGTATAAACGGTGTGCGGAGAAACTCCTAAGCTCTGTACGAAGGGTGTTAGTGCCTCTCGGTAAAAAGTCCCCCTAACTGTCGCCTGCGCAGGTAAGTAAGCTGCTACCACTCTGCACCGCAGATCACGCCATGTTACGAGCAGGCTCAGAAGCCGGCCTGACTCATGCTTAACAACCTCCGTGAACCGTATCCCTGGCAGGAAACCCAAGACAGCCACTCCCCCTGCCCTCTGTGCCGGCCCGACCACCACTTGGGCTTCAGATCTAACTTGTGTCCAGAAATTATGGTCGGATGGAACGCGCGTGTCAGTGAGTACCACAATGTCCGCTGCTTTCTTGATCCATTTACCGCATCGTTCTTGTTTCCCACTGCTACCGAGCCCGTTGATATTGAGCTCGAGAATTTTGAGGTTGTTGTGTTTATTCATTAAACCACTCCTTTGAGCCCCACAGCATCCACGGGCGATTGAGATTTATTGCGACGAGACAACCAGCTACAGCGAAAGAGAACATGGCACCAACTACACAGCCTGCTCCCAAGATCCACCTTGCGGCTTCTTCCATTCCCTTCCCAGCACTGTTATCCTCCAGACCGCTGTTTACTTCGCCACCGGTTTGACCATGAAATCCTTCTTGAAGGCTGCCATCTTCTGAGAGTGCTTGCTGGCGCGTGTTGCTGCTCCTTCCGTACGTAGTCCCCCTTTGTGCCTGGCAGATGCTACATGAGCCGCTGCTTGTTCGAAACGGTTCCCCTGCGCCTTCTCGCATACGGTTTGCACACACACCCACTCCTCCCGCATTCCTCCTGTGGAGGTGAGTATAACGGCGGGGTCCTTCAGGATACGTTTCACGAGAGTGGAAGCTTTCAGAGATGCGGCTGCAGGGAGAGTCGAGTGAAAAGCCATCAGTACAGGGTAAGAGTAAAGAATCCAACGGCAAAGAGCACAGCGGAAGAGGAAGAGGGTGCGGAGCAGCTCGGCGTATACCGTTCATCTCATGAACCTTTTTAACCGACAGGTTCCAGTTGGTGAAGTTCTCCTGCCTTGTGGTGATATAGCGGTCGTGATAGCGGGACAGGTGCGGACCGCTGCAAAGTTCGCAGGTGAGTGACGGGTAATGGAGCAAGTAGCGCTTCTTCGTCGTCGGGTCCTCCACGAAGTACCTCCAGCGGTACTCGTCATCGGCATGGGGGACAACCAGGCCGCGAATACGGTCGGTGTCAAGTCCGGTGACCGGGTCCAGCGTACGATGAAAACCAAAACCGCTGGCGAAGGCACTCCTGCCACGCTTAACCAGCTTCGACACCACCAGCAGATGACGGACAAGTTCAGCAGTGATCTCGGCCGGCACTCCTTTAACAACAACCTCCTGCGCCAATGGGTTCAAAACACGTTCACGAAGAAAGCGAGCATCCTCCGGGTACTGCCAGGTGAGGTCGATGATGTCCCCGTTTACGCATTCGTGCTTGATGACTTGATTCCAGACGTAGTTGGCGTCTCTGACATGATTGAAGGTGACCTGCAGCCGACCATAGCGATTGCCGGAGAGATATGTTGCCGTGAGATCCTGGTAAGTCGTCGTCTGCAGCACATCCGGGGACAACTGATCCTTCCAGTCATCCAGCAGAGCTGCAATCGTTATCGCAGCGCGTTTGACTTCCGCTTTCCTGAAGATCGGCACCAGCAAGGTTAGTGTGAAGCGTTTTAAAGCCAAAGCACTGGTAAGCGAAGCAGGTTCAAGGTGCTCGTCCGAGTCATCGCTTAGATATCCATCATCCTCATCCTCTGGGACCGAATCTGACAAATCCTCCTCGTCGTCGTTGATGTTGTCGCCAGCAGCATCCGCTTCCCCTTCCGCTTTCTGATCCTTGGTTCCGGAGCCTTCTCCGTTATCATCGTCACCATCACCAGAGTCGTCCGCACTATCCTCCTTGTTCTGCAGGTCGTGCAGATCCTCAAACGGTCCAATCACAGCAGGGGGTCGTGGAGTGGAAGGCTTGCCATGTCCAGCAGCGTCCGGCACAGGTGCGTCCGGTACGTTCACTTCCGTCTCCTTTCCCTGATCATCATTGTCCGTCTTCTTGCTCGACTTGTTGTTGCGTCCCTTCCCCATTGTGCGATGATGAAGATAGCTTGACAGCCCGGAGATGGCTGAGAAGCAAGCTGATCTGAGCACTGAAAAGTCTGACGGTTTCTATCTCTTGTGTTTGAAAGCAAACCGCTGCAGGTCCAGACCCGAGGGAGGAAGTATATCCCTGGAGAATGGCATATTGCCTCGGGAAAGGGTCGCCTTGAGAATAGTTGTGCATTGGAAACTGTCAGCGCGGAGATTGACGCGATGTAGAATCTTAGCCAGCAATGAGACGCGATGGAAACCATGAAGTAGCCCGTAGCCTTGGTTATAGTTGCATGTCTTTATGTTGCATGATGATAGATGAAACTTGGATGATAGCCTGGAACTCAAGTAAAGGGTGTTTAGGTTCCCGTAATGAACACTAAAAGTACACCACTGTGTAGAGCTTGCAGTCGCGCATCGTCTAAGCGTAACATTGTCACCATCAGGCAAGAAATTGTTGCACATTGACCAAGTTAAAGCTCTCCGCCATGGCCATGGCGGCATTGTCATGTTGCTTGACTAGTTCCCAACCACCAACCAGTCTACTCTATGCGCACCACTTAAGTCACACTAAGTGATCTCCACCGGGCCTTGTCGACGTATCCACGGTTCTCCAAGTGTATACGTACTAGAGCAGTCCCACACATAAATGCGCAGCGTCTTGTTGATCAATTATATCGTCTCCACAAATACTCATCACATCAATACATTGAAAGAGGAACCTTTTCTCATGAACGATTAAGATCAAAAGGTTTGCAAAAGGTTGATCACAAACAAGAACAAGCAAAGATTTATACTAACCCACCGAAATCAAAAGCTAACAACCCACCAAAATGATAGCTGGAAACATACTCCGAATTGCCAACTATCTCCACACGAAATCAGTGAAAACATGCTCGTCCATGCATATTCCAGTGAGCCATACTTGCTCCCGAACGCTCATGAACGCTCATGGACCTTCGTGGCGACAGCTCATAACAGATCATGAAAGCACATGAAGAATTCGCGCAGTTACGCGACCAAATTACGAAATCGTCAAAATTTCTCTTGCACCTGTCGCACCAGCTTCGAATGTAAATCGCGGACTTCGCGAACCACCCTGGTGAATTTTCTCCTCGGACAATGCAGACAAAACACTCGAGGGTCCCACGAAATCCAACCCGGACCCACGATTTCTCGGCTTTTCCCTCGCGCCACCTGCACACCCCACTTGTGCGTATGGCGAATCCATCTGCAGCCTTAGGCCTCGCGTGTGCACATGCTGGCACACTCCTACTATTTGGCGCCACTCCCTTAATTGCGCCAAAATCAGTACATTGCTCGGCACCCCTTGAATATCTTGACTAGGGGCGAAATTCCCCGAACTCCCATGAACAAACATAAAATTACGAATGCACTCATGAAAACATACGAAAACGCACCTCACAAACTTCACCTGCAAACCCCTCGAACGATCATGAATCCACATGATCGCTCATGACCGCTCATGATCGCTCATGAACGCACATGTCCGCTCATGAACTTACATGTCCGCTCATGAACGCACACGAACAGATGCGAAGCTCCATGACCACTCATGAACATTCGGAACTTTATGAAACACCACGAACACTATGAGAAACTCGAAACTTCTCACATGCACATACGAAACACACACAAACAGTTATGAAAACTCATGAATGCAACCTCACACTAAAATGCACATAACTCACGAACCAATGAGCCGATTCATGAATCGTAAACGCTCAAACGTAAAGCACAGAAACACGCATTTTACAAACGACAAATTACCTTCACTCCAAATATTACCATCAGTCGTGTGTGGTTGTTACGAACCACTCCAACACTATCACGCTGTACAGATAGGCAATTGTTGCGAGAAGGATCGACAGATGGAGAGCTCAGCTGAGTTGACGTGTCGAATGGATACGAACGCGTGGGCGCCTTGTGATATGGTCAACGGCGAAAGGAAGGAGAGGCGAGGTCTGTTTGAGTACGGTTCAGTCAGATGCTTTATGTTCTACAGCTGTCAAACTTGATAATCAAACAATATTACGTTGGAATCACAACTTTACACAAAGAGTGTGACTAGCGAGAGCTGTCGGTCCTGTCGCCAATCTCGCCATGTTCTCGAAGCAGCTCGTTCGCGAATGCGCCTCAAGAATTTTCCTAGTCTCAAGATCTAGGAGCTCCAAACATAGTGTCAAGTGTTGATAAACTAAGGTTTGTTGGGATACATAAATCTAAGCCTAACAGTTGTACCCACTATAACACACATTTGTAAGACTAAAACATTTGACACACCCCCATAGTCTAAGTAAGGGGTGTCAAGCAAAACCAAAAGTGTACGGTCACAAGCAGGGCCCTAGATATCAGACTTTTTAGTCTGATTTAGAGTCCGTTCAAACTTTTTTTTTTACCTAGTCTGAAGTCTAAGTTTTTTTTTTTATGTACCTTGTCTGGTTTTTCAAAGTTTTGTTTATGAGTTGTGTTACGAGTGCAATTGAGTGAGCAAGCAAAGATTGCACTACCGAAGCAAGAGTACAATGAGCGAAGGCATGAGCGAAGAATATATAGCGAAACTACAGTGGTAACGGTAATGAACTGTGGTTGTCGTGCGACGGGCCTGGGACTGAGGTTTGGGGAAATGTCGAAGCGGAGGCCCGGAGCGCGGGTTACCCGCCGAGCCGTGAGGTCGGGGTGCGACGTGCGAAGGTGGCGGGAGGATTGTCGATGCGAGGGTTGCGAGTGGTAACGGTGCTGACTGTGGTGCTACAGTGGTGTACGCGCTGAACGGGGACGCGAAGTAAGGAAAATGAATTTTATGGGCAGGCGGAGGTTCTGGGTGTCAAGTAAAACTAGGTCGTCAGGTTGGTAAGTGACAGGTCGGCAGTGGCGGTCGGCGTTACGTTTAGCGATGATGTTTGATTTTTTTATAGCGTCTGCTGCCCGGGTCCGTGCTGCTTGTAAAATTTCAGCGAACTGTTATGCTCGTGGCACCGGGTTGTCGGGATTCGGGGTCATGGGTACTGTCGGGTCTTGTCCGTAGTTCATGTAAAACGGTGACTGTTGGGTCGTGGCGGACGGTGAGTTGTTGTATGCTAACTCAATGAGTGGCAGCTATTGATCCTAGGTGGTTGGGTCGTCGCACATGGCTCGGATGAGTTGCTCCATAGTCTGGTTTGTCCGTTCTGTCTGTCCGTCGGTTTCGGGGTGGTACGAAGAACTGAACTGTAGTCGCGTGCCGAACTGCTGCCACAGGTTCCGCCAGAAGTTGCTGGTGAATTTCGTGTCGCGATCGCTGATTATCGCTGCTGGTATCCCGTGCAGTCGAACGACGGTAAAGATGAAGAGGCGTGCTGTTTCTTCGGCTGTGATTGATTTTTTGCAGGCTGCGAAGTGTGCCATTTTCGTCAGTCGATCGACGACGATCAGGATCGCGTCGTTCCCACTCGCCCCGGCCGGTAACCCCGTGACGAAGTCCATCGTCACCTGCTCCCAAGCACGCTCTGGGGGTGGTATCGGCTGCAACTGTCTTGCCGGCCGCTGCCGTGATGATTTCATGAGCTGGCAAGTGGGACACGATGCCACGTGTCGTTGTACGTCGGTCAACATTTCGGGCCAGTAATAATACCGCTGCAGCTGCTGCCGTGTTTTCTCTACCCCAAAATGCCCCGAGGTGACTCTGTCGTATGCCTCCTGTAACAGTAATTCCCGTAGCAGTGTATACCCGGGCACCCAGATGCGGTCGGTCCCGGCTTTTACGTAATAGACTCCCCTTGCTGCTGCGAACTGCTGCGAATTTCCTCCTGTGAAGAATGGATCCGTTTGGTACCCGTGGGTAAATAGGCCTGTCAGTAGGGGGCTGGTCTGGGCGAGTAGTATTGCATGGATCTGGGCAGTGGGGCGGGTCAGTGCGTCGGCGATGTTCGAGGTGTCAGAGGTCCACTGGTGATCCCCGATTGATCCTAGGGAAGGGTTACAGGCATGTTGGCCTGGGGGGTTATGGGCGCACTGACCCGCTACTTAACAAGCCCTTTTATCCCAATGGTCTAGTGGTTGGGATTCTGACATGGTATCAGAGAGAAGGTCTCGGGTTCGAATCCCGGTGTGTGCACTTCGGGCATCCCAGTGCGGGGGGGTGTGAGAGGTCCACTGGTGATCCCCGATTGATCCTAGGGAAGGGTTACAGGCATGTTGGCCTGGGGGGTTATGGGCGCACTGACCCGCTACTTAACAAGCCCTTTTATCCCAATGGTCTAGTGGTTGGGATTCTGACACGAGGCTCCCTTTTTGTAGGTGACCGTGTAGTGAAAATTGGACTCGAGAAAATCGAGCCAGCGAATCTATCGTGGGTTGAGGTGTGGCTGTGCGCGGAGGTACTGTAGTGATTTATGGTCTGTCCGTACTGTCACGTCTGCGCCGGTCAAATAACAGCGCCACATTTTGAACGCGTGCACGATCGCAAGCATTTCGCGGTCGTGTATCGGGTAATTTTTCTCGGGCGGATGCAGTTTTCGTAACTCGTATGCGATGGGTTGTAGGCCGTTGCCGAAGTCCTGTAGCAGTACGGCTCCGATGGCGATGTCGCTTGCGTCGGTAACTACTTCGAATGGGCGGTGTGGGTCGGTGATGCGCAGGACGGGAGATGAATAGAGAACATTTTTCAGGGCAGAGAAGGCAGCATGCTCTTTCTCCCCCCACGTAAAAGCAACCCCCTTCCGTAACAAGTCCGTCAGTGGCGCTGTTAACCGTGCCATGTCGGGGGCTAACCGACGCACGTAATTGACGAACCCTAAAAAGCTCTGTAGTTCCGTGATATTCGTCGGAGAGTGCCAGCCTCCGAAATAGCGGACCCGTGGGCCCTTCCTCTTGCGACGGTGGCTCGTAGGCGCGTGGCGACGTCACGATGACTCGCCACCAGTCCATGGCGGGGCCCCTCAGCAGCGAGATGGCATATCGGATCTTCGCTGCGTTCGACTCGACGTAATTCGCGT